ATACTGTCAATCAAGAATGTATGTTTCTTGCATGTCCATTATGTGAAAGTAATTTTCAAGAGAAAGTTATTGATAATGTTGTAAGTGGAGCAACTAGAATTAAACGGTGGCAATGGGTCAATATAAACGGACGTGCAGAAAAAAAGGAATTTGAAGAATCAGTTGATGAAGGTATTGAATTGTTGAAATCCAAAGTTAAATATTTTCTATTTCATGTCTATATTAAGCGTGAACAAAGTAAATATTTCGAACAGTTAAAGTCAGAAGTAACAGCTGAAAAAGTTGTTATACAAGTTGATTTGGCTGAAACTTTTGGATTGAAAGAGCAAGACGAAATTCAAAGTGCTCATTGGAATACAAAAACTCTATCTATATTTACAGCTTATGTATGGTCTAAAAGTTTAGGTTTTTCATTTACGCATCCATCGAATGACGTCTCTCACGATAAATTTGTTGTAAACTCAGCTATTGAAATTATTTTAAATGAACTTAAAACACATGTACCGAATTTAAAACAAATTGATTTCTTTTCTGATGGCGCAGCCTCACAATTTAAGCAACGTTTTACGTTTCGTAATTTAATTCAGATTGCTCATGAATATAAAATAGCTTTAAGTTGGAATTTCTTTGCTACAAGTCATGGAAAAGGTGTTGTTGATGGTCTTGGTGGGACTGTTAAGAGGCTCGTTTGGTCAGCAGCATTGGCAGATGATAATTGTAAATCAGCGAAAGATTTTGTTACGTTAGCGCAACAGAAAACAAAGAAGATAATTATAACTGAAATTACGAAAAATGCTATTGATAATTCAAAACTAAAACTAGAAAATATATTTAAAGTAGCTAAATCTGTACCAGAAACACTCAAAACACATTCTGTAAAAGTAATTGATAATAAAACTCTTGATTGTAGATATTATTCATTAATTTCAACAAAGAAAATAATTAAATATGACTAAAGAGATTTTTTTCTTATCGATATATTTTATTTTCATTGCAGCGGCTGTTTGTAAATACATGTTGTGTGAGCGTGTTTTTAACGTTGAAAGCCGATGAAAGGCAAAAAAGGAAATGTTCCCTTGGCCAGAGTCCTTGACGATTAGGCCACAGAAAAGAGAAAAAAAATGTACGAAAAAAACATTACCCAGTTCCAGGAGGCAGGGTCTTCGTCCCGAGTTGGAGAAACGCTAGTGTTTGCGATAGTGTGTTCTTAAATGCTAGTGGCTAAGCGCCTCCATCACTGAAGAAGAAAGCTCATAGAGCGGCTATCATCATTATGCTTCAAGTGTCTTACGTGGAAGAAAAAGATGGTTCACCCATTAGTTAGGGGAGTCCTAAGGTTCAAGAAACTACCTTAGAGTAGAGAAATGCAGTAATTTCGCTCTTTTAGGACTAAAGAATGTTTCATCCAACAATTATTTCGTCATTGAAAACCTCAACCTTTGTGAGAAAAAAAGAAGTCACAGTGTCACGTTGATAAATTGGACTTTCTAATCGACGCAAAGGGCCTGAAACAAAGTTCTTTTTAGCAATAGATAGCTCTTTAGTTACTCTACAAACTTCTCTCTAGGAAAGCGTGTTTTGTTAAATGAACTTCACAGGAAATTGGCATTTAATCAGCAACACTCAGAAAAAAGGGCCTTTTTTTTGTCACAGCGTCACGGCCGGAAAAATGGTTCTGTAGACTAAAGACTTAACTAAAATTTTTTTTTTTATATCATAAATAGAGCGAGATAAGCTGCATCGAATGCCGCCAAAACCAATCTTGTAGCTCTTCTACTTTTTGAGCTGATTTAAAATTAACGTGTAAAAAGTGTCACAGCGTCACGGTTGGACAAGCCGCATAGAGGACGGTTTTTTATATTTTTCAGGTCCTCTTAGTAATTTGATTTTTCTCCATGAAGAAATGGCTTTTGAAGGCTTGGAAGGTGTTATTCGTAATCAGCTCGTTAAGCTGAATCTGAATATGTATAATAATGCCAGAAACAAATTTCACTGAAATTTTGCATTACGTGCACCTTACACAAAACGTAAAAAATAATGTAAATTTTTTAAATATTAACAAAAGCATACTGTTTCTTTAAATGTCCTGAATCATGTGAGAAATATAAAACAAAATACTAAAACTAGAAAGAAAAGAATAAAATCATCGTTGTTCCCTGTTAACACTCAAATAATACTCAAGTAATTCAATGTTTTTTTGCTTCTTCTTTCTCTGTCCTTTTCTCATGCTTGTACTATTGTCACCTATACTTGTACCTTTCTATATATTTATACGCTATATAACATTATTATTTCTTCATCATAGATATAAATACACATTATTTTGCGTTGTACTGTACACACTTATTATTTGATTCAAAAAAGCAGCATGGGTGAGTGTTAAAGTATTTTTGATTTTCAAAAACCTTAATTTATTCTAGATCAATCTTAAAACTGTTGAACATTTTATTAAAACAAGTTATAATATTTTACTAGTCTGACAAATTTTATTTCTATTCATTCAAAAAGTCAAATTTTGTTTCTTAGAGGGCACAGAGTAAAAATTTATACTACGATGAAGAGTTAGGAGGGAGGGAGAGTCCTCCTATTTAGACTTGGTTCAAATTTTGCCTCATTGTAGAGGAAATTTCAAAATATATATGAAGAGTTTAGAGGTTTACGGACTTATAGTTTCCTAGAAAAAAATGTTTTAATTTTTTTCGGCCTCTTTTGCCCATTTTTCTAAAATTAAACTAAAAGTTTTACTTTCCAGTTTGAAATCTCGATTTTGTAACCAATTGATAGAGCGCATCAAGATGTATATATGAAAAGAGTATCATAGCTCTCAAACAAGGTTTGGTGAAGAAATTCGGATTTAACCTTGAGAACGGATTAAACTAGATAATCGAAATAGTTACCGCTGAACTTCATCGACTGAAAAGAAACATTGAGAATGAAAAAATATTTTTGTCCTATTTTTGTAGTTGCAACGTGTTTATAGGTCCAGGTTTGGTCACAAAGCTATGGAAACTCAAATTCATCTATTTCTATATTGAAATTTAGATTTTGTAAAAAATACAATTGAAAAGAAAACGGGAATGGATTTGGATAGTGATGGTCGAGTTGGTGGTGGAACGGGTACGCGAAAGAAAACTGCACACTTCTTCCGATTACTGGAATTGACATTTTTTTGTTGTTGAAGGACAACAACTACCAGGTCAACATGGTACCGGAGCTCCTGGTCAGCATGCAGGAGGACTTACCGGAGGTAGAAAACATCGATTTATTCTCGTCTATCAAATTAGTTTCCCATCTTGTTATTGTAGGTCTCATGGATAAAGCTGAGCAAGCAACTCGTTTTGACATCAATAATGATGGTCGAATTGGTGGTGGACAAAAACCGCATTAATAAAATTCATACAGATACATATTCAAACTCTTCCTCTTATTCACTCTTATTATATTCATGCTATGTTATACAAAAGTTATTTTCAACAATTGCATATAAAAGGTTTTCCTTCGTTTTGGACGACGGTCGCTCGTCCACAAAAGAGTCTCTATCTCACTAGTTTTCGCTAATAAAACGGTAAGGTGTTGTTTAACTTGTTCAAATGAGCTTATTCACAAGCAATAATTGTTTTAACTGCAAAAAGAGATCATTTTATTGAAAAATAAACATGAAGAAAAACAATGAATAAACCATATGCACGTTCTGGTGAGGGCACTATACGTTGGTCGTATAGGAGATAGATGTGATATGGAGCATTCAGTCTTTTCTCTCCATTATACTCAATAGATTATTTTCTATCCGGCCTGGTCAAGCGCAACGGATGGAGAATTTGACGCACTCAGAGACAAATATTTCGATGACAGCTCAGGTGCTCAATACCGACGGCTACCGTGAAGTATACCGTCATAGTAAACGCAAATACCGTCTGGTATACTGTCATATACCAGGCAATGCTAAAGTGAGAAGTACTCTCTCTATCCCCGGATCCTAAGCTCTGGTTGACAAATTAAATGAAATAAGTGCCAGTATGTAAAATTTATTGTGTAACAAGTGGAAGAAATGAATATAATAAAAGTGACTGTCACACGCTCACACACACACATAAGCACACTGAATAGGACTAACTAAAAAATGACTGTATACAGACAATATATACTAAAACAAGAGACAAAGATGGAAGTTTATGTCACGTCACAAAGAGAGAGAAAATATATCTTATCGTTCTATCTGTCTGTTTATATATAAAAAAATCAGAGAAAAACAAAGAGAAAATAATGGACTATGGTCCAAGTAAATATACGAATAAAGAACTATATGTCTAGAGTGTGAATGAGAAAACAAGGGAGAAGTATTAAAAAGAGAAATGATCACGAGCACTAGCATGTGAATGAAAAAGAAGACGAACTGTCCCGGTTCGTAACATACACCCGCGGTAACCACGCGGTATGCTACTGTATACCGTCGGTATAACTAGCGGTATCGTCTGGTATTTTATCGTTATGAATATGTAGAACAGGAGTTCGAAACTAATTTTCAACTTTCTTTTCTTATTTTTAAGCACTTGTAATAGCAGACAGGCTCCCGATCGAGAGAAATCTGACTCGAGTCGAAGTTCAAACTTCCACGAGTCTATCTGATCTAAACGAAAAGTTTAATCTGAAGAAGAAATCAAGTTTCTCGAATTTTTCGGTGTTTCTTTTATATCTTCATGGGTGCAAAATACAATGGTGGATGGACAGAAACGATTACCCTGCGATATTTTCTTAGACCGCGGTCTAATAAGTTACCATCGGTTAACCGCGCGGTATACCGATGGTATTTTAAAAAAAGCTCGATATGGGAGCAAAGACTACTGAGCTGAAATTTTTTTGTGTGGCAATATACCATGAGTTTTATCTCTGGTAAACGTTTCAACCCATTCAGTGCATAACTCACTGAGCAGCGAGTAAAATAGTACACTGGTTAACGATATCATAGAATATCGCCATATGGAATTTCACCATCGGAATTTCGCCAGTCCAAATTTCGAAGACTTTTAGCAGTATTGCCGAATATACCGAGCAAAGTCATCAATGACCAGATTTTAAACCTAATTCAACAAACTCAATCTTCCTTTAACATAAGTCAACGAACGGCAGAGATTTTCATTGCTTTCGAAAAGGCGTTCGACAAGGTATGGCGAAACGTCCTCCTGTTCAAATTAAATAGTAAAAAAGTGCCCTCACCGTCTTTTTAAGATATTACATTCCTATTCTAAAGACAGAAAACATTTCGTGCAAGTATCGAATACATATTCAAAACTGTACAACGGCCTATGGGCTTCTCCGCCTAACGCGACACACGCTGATCAAGTTTATAAAAAAAAATTTTCGCTTTCGAAAATTTTGAATACATCCCTAGATGTAATTTTTAATTCTAAGAACCCGTTTAAAACGCTTTTTTGATAAAAATTGGTTTTTGAGTCTCAAAACCGGTTTTTGAACATTTCAAAAATCGGATTTTCTATTTTTAGCCGAGAAAATTTTCGAAAAATAAATTTCTAAACATATGGCTTCGTAGAAAATTTAATTCTCTACAAAATATACTCTAAAAGTAGCTTCATCTTTCATCACTTATGCTGTTTTATATAATAAACTTATTGTCTATATTGTTAATTTTTACCTCTTGCATGAGCGAAAGCACGAATTCAAGCGCTTACTTCCGCGTTTAAACCAGATAAAAACAATTGTATGTAAACTTTTAGAGCTGTAAAAATGTATGCTTTTTCCTATACAAAAATAAATAAATTTTTCTTTTTCTTTTAATGTCAAAAAAAATCTGTTAATCTTTTTATCAATTTTTTTCTTTTTTATTCTGCAGTGCAAGCGAACATCAGGCCCGAGCATTTCTTTTCGCAATAAATCAACGTCATCATCACATCTACGCGTAGGCTCGTTTTTGACGGCGTCCCTAACGAACTCATTGTTCACAAAGTTTGTCTTCCTAGATGTATTGTAAGATGGGAAGCACTTTTTAAAATATTTAACTATTGATCTTATTTGTCACATGCTTGAGAGCGACTAATTTCGAGAAATGCAGTGAGAAACGGCTTGAAAAATGAGTTTTGGGAATATTTTGTACGATTGACATTGAGATGTATCCTTGCAAGATACACCATTGGATAGAGCACGGCGAGTTCTATCTGGCATATGTAAAATTTAAGTTGGCACAGTTCTCAGTACGAATGTTTTGTTAAAATGTGAAGTTACATGTATTTTGGCCGTTGGGAAAATCGATACTTTGTTTTTTAAAACTTCTTTGGATAATAAGCATGAAAGCTGAACATGTCAGTGGATGGAAATTTCCAAATTGTGTCTGGCAGGTGTGCTCGAAGGTGGCACAGTTGTCAGAGTGAATGTTTTCGTAAAATAGTCGAATCTACTGTTAACTTCACTTGTGTCTTTGGTCAAGTTCGCAAATACTTTCTTTACGTTTCTCAATCTTTCTTAGAGTATTGTGAAAGCGTAGAACACCGACTTAAAGTTATTAGACTTCCCCAAGAATTGGAGTGAAAAAGTTCTAACCTTTTACCTTGTTAGTGTACTAACCTTAACTTTAAGTTTTATCTATGAGTCTTTGCCCGACTAGGGTATGTCTTTAAAAGTGTGCATATTTCAAGCTTAGGCTACGGTGTTAGAGAACTACCTTGATTTCGTTCTCTAAACTATATTTCTCGTTGGTAGATACACTCCTTATTTTCTTATAAACGACACGTCAGTGCTCTTCCTTTTTCGTCATGTGTGATTTTCTTCGTTGTCATCTATATTTCTTTCTTAATGCAATACCACCGCCGTTGTTTACTTTGTTTATTCATACAAGATCATATACATTTCTTTTCTTCTTTTCTTTTATGTATTTTTTTCATTGTCCGTCAACGTATATATACTACTGCAATACAGTCTATTAAAAAGAGCTTTTACATTCGCACTGTAGGGTGCTGTTCATTAAAATTATAAATAGAATGTTTAAGGAACAGCGCTAACCATCGTCAAATGCAGGAGCAAGTGAGGAACCCGGTAACATTGGTGCACGAGCCGGGTTTATTGGCGCAAGATCACAATAAGAAAAAGAAAAAAAAGATCCCACGATTACTGAAAATTATCCCACATAGAAGAATTGTGGTTTTTTCAGATTATCAATATACGGCGATGTACGGTGGTTTGCATCTGATTTAAGTTATCAACGAACAATTGACCAAGATAATATCGAAACTTATTGCTGTAAAATTTTTAAGAAGTAATATATTACTTGTTTGAGAATTTCAAAACCCGGAGTGTTGGTTCCGTATTGCAAAGTTAAATTATGCAAGGGCATGGCTATTACAATTAGATGATAAATTTCAAGATTCGGATTTGTCAACATCGATTAGACGAGAGATATGTCCATACGTAGTTAGAGGTGAAGTTTTATTATGGTTTTTGGAAAATAGTGGTATAATTACTGATTGAGAATCATTTGCTCGAGAATTTATTAAAACATATTGTCCGACAATACCGGCAACAACAGAAGAAAAACAAATCGATCAAATATATTTAAATTCAGTGAGCCAACCAAAAATATCTTTTAAATCCCATTCACAAGATTTTCTAAAAACATTCACTCGTTACACATCACCGGCAACACCAGATCAACAACAAAAGGAGCAAGAAAAAACGTTTTGACATCATTCATTACTTTCTTAAACTCAACAGCTGATTTATTTGTTGTTTTTTCTTGCTCCTTTTGTTGTGGATCTGGTGTTGCCGGTGATGTGTAACGAGTGAATGTTTTTAGAAAATCTTGTGAATGGGATTTAAAAGATATTTTTGGTTGGCTCACTGAATTTAAATATATTTGATCGATCTGTTTTTCTTCTGTTGTTGCCAGTATTGTCGGACAATATGTTTTAATAAATTCTCGAGCAAATGATTCTCAATCAGTAATTATACCACTATTTTCCAAAAACCATAATAAGACATAAGTGAAGTTAGCAGTAGATTCGACTATTTTACGAAAACACTCTGACAACTGTGCCACCTTCGAGCACACCTGCCAGACACAATTTGGAAATTTCCATCCACTGACATGTTCAGCTT